TGTTCCAGCACAAACCAATGCTGCCTGCTGCTGTATAACCACCCACACAGCTCTGCAGTACATGCAGCAAGTGGCTAGTAATGGTCTAGCGACAGTACATATGGATATGTGGGAGCATGTACTGGTCATATGGTCCACACATACACGTGTGTGCATGAGCATGTCCACTTACCTGCTTCAGGGCTGCTCAGGTCATAGATACGCAGCAGTTTGTCGTTACCTCCAGTTAGCAGGCAGTTGCTGTCCTGTCAAAAAGAAGCACATATTCATGGGAGGCTCTTCACTCCCACCCAACAAGCACAGAGAGTAAAGCTGGATTTATAATCCTGCACATGTGTCATTTTGCAAACAGTTTTCAGTTGTAAGAGGAGTGAGGGCGTGGGGGCTTGTCACCCATGTGAGACATGCTACTGAATGTTGATTGGTTGATAAGTGAGCCGGAATAGAGCAGGAAGCTATAGCAGAGTTCACTGAGGACGAGGCAAAACGCAAAAAACAAGCTCAAAAAACGAAGCATGAAAAGCACAGACAGTGACACATTTCATCGTTTCACTGGAGCTACAGGCAGGCAAGCTGGCCAAAAATGAATTCCTGACATTTTTGAGTGACTGACATGGAAGAGGATACCGGAGTCTGCAAAGCTTTACGTTTTCACGTTGTCTTTGAACAGTCTGGATAAGATTTGGATGGTTTGTTGTAAAGTGTGAGGAATGTGTGAGTGTCTTTCCAGGACTCTGTGAGGAGTCTGAGAGTCCACAGTGAGTTTGTTCCACAGAGCTGTGGGCGCTATAGTGCAGTTATGGCTGTAAAGGCCAGGGCGTGGTCTGCAGAGGCACTTTTCTCCTCCTCCTCTCGCAGTCTTTGGAGCTGCTGCTGTGATTGTGAAACTGCTGAGATCCCACCGAGACTCAGACACAGGAGCTTGCCACTTCATGTGCCCTCCATATCTCTCACTTTGTCAACCAGTATCCAAACGTCATCATTGAATCCCTCTCATTTTCTGTGGGTTCTCTACCTTGTGTGTGTGTGTGTGTGTGTGTGTGTGTGTGTGTGTGTGTATATTTGTATAATATTTATTTTTTCCACTTTGAAAGTGAAGTTTTTGTGGGTAAACACTTGCTCTGAGTTCTTTAAGTGTGGTGCTTTATTCAAAATTCATGGTGCCCCAAATGTGTCCATCTGAGTACACTATTCCAGAGTTCACCAGGAGTGGGAGAACTTCTAAGTGATTCTTAAGGTGTTTTCACAGCTGTGCGCTTAGTTCATTTAAATCAACGTGATTCAACCCCGATCAGAACCAACTACCCAAACCTCTACATTACAAGCTTGAGCTAAAAAAAGGTTACCGGTATGTAGCCATCTCCTGATGATTGCTCAATCATCCAGGTAAGAAAATCCCACAAACGTTTTCAGTGGGAGAAACGTTTTTTCAGACTGATGAACAGAATGCTTTGTATTCTGGGATGGAACAAGGTACTACAGATGTGCAAAGGTCTGTACGGGCTAGAAGCTACCTGTGAAATGAATGTAAATTCTCCAAGTTTTCCAATAATACACAACACAGCACTTTCTTCCATCCCAGACACATCTAGCCAATGAGCAGACTGAACATTCTCACGCGGTTTGTAGTGTTGCATTTTGGCTTGAAAAGCTACAAGTTTGCAAACTCATCAAACAATTCAGACCAGAGGAAACCAACTATAGGTGAGAAAACACCTCACGCACTACAATAGGTTATCCAGCTAATCTGTTTGCTTTTGAAGGCAATACTGTAACATGTATCCGGTGAATCTTTGCAAACAGCATATTTAACTAATATTTATTACAAGGCACCGCGTGCATGACATTGTAACTGGAGCTGAACACTGCTAAAGCTTTGGCCCTAGAATCACTACGGGCATGCAGGCTCAAATGTTTACTTAAACATTTGAGCTTAAATCTTAAATCTTTTACTAAATGGTGATTTGAACTTGAGCAGGCCAGGGCCTGTTAACTTCTGGTTAGTGATCAACATTGACAAAGAACTTGTTTCACAGCACTGACTGGACTAAAATGTTACCTTATCAACTATATTCTGTTCTTGGTGAAAGGTGTGCATCAATTTAAACCCACAAGTAGAGAAACACATACAGAAACACATCAGTCTTTTAAGGAACACATGATGAAGTGCACTGACCTGAGTAAAGCTGACAGTTTTCACAATGTGTTTGTGTGCCAGAGACAGGACCTCATCTCCACTCACTGCATCCCACACCTTTCTGCAAAAGTCCACAAGGGAGCTGTTAACAGTGACCTCACACTGTGTGTGAGTGTGTGTGTGTCAGTGTAATATGTGTGAATGCAGAGGCTGCTTTATATAAGAGACAAAGTCAGAAGACACATATATGCAGAAAACTCATTCAAAGCTCAGTGTGCAAAACTGTTTCCTCTGTGACATACATGTGATAGAACAAGTCAGAGCCTCGTCTTACAAATCAGTGAGAATGACAGGTACATCAATATATTGGCTTATAACAGACTCTTGGAAAATAAGACAACATTTAGCAGGACTAAAGATTTAGCTGTTGTGTCACTGAATGTTGGCACTAGCTAAAAGTCTTAATGTTGAATAGCAGAATTGTCCTTGCTTTGCTGGAACAAAGGGATAGATAAGAATGAAATAATAGGCGCAGCAGGATATTCTACTGTCCACAGAGTTCAGCTCATGATCACACTAATAAAAATGGCTTTACTTTATACAGTGTAAAGCTTTTTCTTAGAAGGATGCTGGGAAAGCAAGGGTCACCATGGTGACCATGTCTATCACAAAGGCATGTGGGCTACGTCACTGCTATAGCCAAGCTAGAAAGGTCCCTGAAGCCTGTACTAGCACTCACATCTAAGTGATCGATTGTCAATACCATAGCATGAAGCAAAACAGCCGTTTAAGGTTATCTTGAAATGAAATGAGACCAGATCACACATGAACTGAGGTTTCAGAGTACATACAACAATACAACACTACCAATGGATGCATGACAGATTATCCACAGAGAGGAGCACTGAGGATAACTGCCTCTTTCAGGCTAGTTTAGTCTGAGTGTGTGAACTCACGCTGTGAAGTCGGCAGCAGCAGTCGCTGCTTTGGTGGCGTCTGTGTTTAGAGTGGCTCCCCAGACAGCGCCCTTGTGACCCAGAAACGTTCCTATCCAGTCCCCTGTGTCTCCCTGGCGCAACATGGGCTTGCCATCTGATGGAGAGAAGCAGAGAGGATGTGAGCATCACAGTGTAACGGCAGGGGGCAGTAAGGATAATCCACAGGTGTCTGCTAGGTCCTGCTGACCGTGCGACAAGCAGGGGTCACTGACTTCTAGGGTGACATTTGATTGTTGCTAGGTAAAATTGGTTGTAAAGAGTTGATACTGCATTGAAAACCTCCTTGCGGTTGCTCTTTTTGCTAGCAGACTGTCACGTCACAGTTTGTATGGAACATGCAGACTTGTCTGCAAGCACTTGCCAATTAGTTGCTAAGTGGTAGTGAAAGTTAAGAGTGCAGTGCAAACAAAAAGCAAAAGCTGCATCTTTTGCAATGTGTTGGTTTAACCCTGGAACAGTTAGGCACAACCTTGACACTGAAGGCACACCTTCACTGTTCAGAAAATGTTTGCCTTCAGTTGTAACAGCTTCACTACTGCTCACTTCAATACTGATTAGTTGGTGAGTCAGCATCCTCCATGCAAGCTATTAATAAATGGCTCTTCCTAAAAGAAAGAAAAGGAAAAAAATGAACTTAACCTAGGAAATCTAGGAATAGGAACACTGTTTGCTCTCAAACGCCATCTTTCTCAGGGCTGTTTAGTTGCAGATCTGTAGCAACTCAGTGACATGAATACCATCTGACAGCCCAGAGACGATCATTATCTAATCATGGAATTTAGGACATGATCAGATAATGATAAACAGGATGTAATCTTTTCTATACTTTTTCAACAAAGTTGTACAATTCGAGATCAAACTTTAGTAGGAAGGTAAACCATCAGTAGTTAAGCTAGCCGCATGTGCCTCTCTCTCTCTCAGGCTCACACACATATGCGCCCCCGAGCGCACACAGACGCACTTAATGACACCAGAAAACAATACAAAGACACAAAGTCAATCAATGGAAGAACATCATGTTTTATAAAGGGCTCATTTTAAAGCCCAACCCGCAACAGACCACGTCCAGAAGTAACACCAGATTCTCACAGGCTACTTTATGTTCATAGTCCTGCCAACACCTCTCACCCTTGCAGGCGCTGATGAGGAAGTATCCATAAGGAGTAATTCCACTGAAGGCCAGGTCCACCACAGGCCGGGTGTGACCGGAGCAGGTGAGGGGAGTCTGTCTCATCGCCATGGTCCTCCGGCCGGCCGGGAGACGGTTTGCACTGATAGAGGAGACGGTTGGATGCTAGCGGCTAGCTAGCAAGCTAGGAAAACTAGCGGAGTAGAAGGAAAACAAGATAACAAGCTAGCTTTGTAGGTTATGTTCCGTTGGATAGCAGTTAGCTGCTGCTGCTCACACTGTGAATCAGAAAGAATAAACTGTAGGTCTGTCGTACAGCTCTACCTTCCAGCGAAGGAACGGCTACCGTGCTAATAGCTACAACATTGCAACTAACTAGCAACGTGCGACACGGCCAAACAACCATAGAGACGACGATGTTGCCGGTGTGTTACGCCAGTTCCGCTAATCATGACGATAACACTTCCGATGCCTTTCATAGTAAAAGTGTCATCGCTTCTAACGGACATTGATACTTTTTAAATTTTGATTGAACAAATATTGAATAAAGGCTTCTTCAGCAGTGCTGAGAGAAATGTTGATATCGATCCGTTATCAAGTAAAAACGGACAGTAATGTCCATACCAATACCTTTCACCCATAAAGGAGGCTTATGTGGGGGAGAGCAGTGTGTCATTATTTATTAGATGTATAATTATTTAATGGCGCTTCTATAGTTAAAATGTTCTATAAATATCTATCGTTATTATCAATACCTGGGTTGATCTACCCACCACTATTCTTCGTGAGCTACCTGTCAGCTCTTTTTCGTTTTCAGACTTTAACTCAGACTTTTCATCGTGTAAAAGACACAGTTAAACGTTGTGACATGGAAGGCATCAAAGCTATTTGTAAACAGGACTTATACTAATATTTCAAACAGAGATTGATTGTTTATTTGTATTACTTATGTATGTAATATTATCACAGCACATAGTGTCAGTGTTACTTGGATGAGCGCACTCCAAGAGCCCGTGAAGGCTCTAAGGCTGTGAAAGACGTGCAGCTGTATGCGAATGCTTTCTAGTTTTTAGTGTTGAGGTACCGGCAGATCTCACACCAGGAATGAAACTATTAAAACTCTTTGTTTTGTTCGCCCCCATAAAACAGAAAGAATGTATTTATACTCTTACCTCCAGAGGGCGCTGAGTGCATGGATGTATTACTGTAAACGCTCAGTGTGCAGCAGGATGACAGGGAGAGAGGAAGGTGCCTTGCTTCACGGCTGCGGGCAGAGATGGCGTCCTGCTGCCGGTGAATAAGCAGAAAAACCAATCAGAGGGAGGAGAGAGAGGACGCATCTTTCCGAGCATCGCACGGCTGAGGATACTCCCGCTGCGATGGCAGCAGCGCTGTGAAAGCCGTGGATGCTCGCTGGTGCTGTTTGAGTTGCAGGACGTTGGGACTCCCCCAGAGGAGGCGGTGGGGCTTGTTTTCTCCCTCTGGCAGGGCTCTCTGTTCGTCCGCCGCAGGGAAGAGAGGGCAGAGGGAGGGACAGAGGAACGATGGCTGCCGGAGGAGCAGGATGCGGGGATACGGTAGAGGAATATCGGGCCGAGGTGGAGCGCCTGACCCGGGAGCTGGCGGAGGCCAACCGCGAGAAGATACGGGCGGCGGAGTGTGGACTGGCGGTTCTGGAGGAGAACCAGAGCCTGAAGCAGCAGTACGCCGACCTGGAGGCCGAGCAGGAGGCGCTAAGGGTGGAGCTGGAGCAGCTGCAGGAGGTGGGGTCAGCAGGGGTATGACTCCTTACTCGAAATCCATGCACTGGTCTGATTAGCTTGAGGCGTTTCTGACAGCACCTTCTCACCTGCACCCGCTGGAGGATGTTATGAGCTCACAGGGTGGTTCATTAAAAAGCCTGTCTGTGCACACTTCACCTGTAGTCACACCTGCTGGACATGCCAGCTCTTTAGCCAAAATGGCTTCAGTTAGCTTGTCAAAGATTAAAGACGGTACTGTAATACAGGCTAGTTGCTTTATGCTCTTTATTTAATCTGTTTTTAAACCAAGTCATTATATTTCACACACTACAAACTTTCTGGGCAAAATACTAAATTCCCCTCATACACCCACCATTTCTTTATATCATGCTTCCAAGGAGTCTGGTTTTCTTGTCATTTTTAACTGGTTTCAGTAGTTCTTAGCTTTCTCATGGGCTTTTTTGGACAATGTCAGCTTTTTCCACTCATCTTCAGTCCAGTCCTTGTACCTGACGATTTTCAGAGGAATGGTTTTTGTTTTTAAATCCATTTAACACTGACTTATGAATCATTCGAACATGAAAAGACACCCTATGACTACACATAACAGGCAACTTTTCAAAGAACCAGTTTAAATTGTATCTTTAGGAATTTGTATTGAAGGCTGCTGGAAACAAAACACATTATTATTACATGGGCTGGTACTTTTATGGTGCTGTTGTTGAGCACTCACAGGACTTCCTGCTGCAAGTCTCACTTACTCAGTCCCATACATACGCATTCAGTGCTTTAATCTATGCCCAAGCATTTTTTAACATTAACTCACACTCAAATTCCAATAGATGCATCAGGAGCAGCTCAGGGTTCAGTACATTGCCCAGAGCTAATTGTGGGCACAAGTAGGACTGGAGGAGTCAGGAGTCAATCCACTGACCTGCTCCACCACCTGAGCCACACCTGCTCATTTCTTTGTTTGCATCTATGGAAAATGTCTTTAAGAAATAGGAAAAAATCCATCAAAAACAATAATTTTTCAGTATCGCAATGCTCCCAAATGCACTGCCACTGCACTAAAAGTATACATGGATAGAAAAGCGCACCGTAGAATACAATCAGTCATGGACAGGCCAGCCCAGAACCCGGACATCAACATTACCAAAAATCTTTTGCATAACTGAGGGCAGCACAGAAAGCCACTAAATACAATAAAACAATGCTGAAACCTCATAAACCTGTTTGCGTTTGTGTCCATATAATGAACATGAGATTAGTATTCACTCTCCTTCAATCTCAGGGTAAATCAGAGAGGTCTACACATTAAAGTGTCCTTGGGCAGGATACCAAATCCCCAAATTTCCAGTCCGTCACTGTCTGAGTGGCAAAGATGAAGCATTTATGGCAAAGAATAAAGGGCTATATCAATGTGTGAATGTGGCTTTTGTAGAAAAGCACTTGGAGTGGTCAGTAAGACTAGAAGAGCTTTATATAAATCTCAGTCAACATACCAGATATAGTAGCAGTGTCCAGGCCGGGCGAAGTTTCTCCATTTAGAGTTAAAAAGCGGTGCAGGCTACACTTCTGGTTGTCCCCTTCTTTTTAAGTTTCAGCTTTGCAACCATACTCCCCACGGACTTTGGTTTCCTTCATGCTAGTTGGCAGGTGGTGCAGTGGTTAGCACTGTTGCCTCCTGGCAAGAGCAACCCCAATTTGACTTTGCGGAATCTTTGCGGAGTGTGGTGTGGTGGAATTTCCATGTGTTTGTCCAAAGACACGTAATTAACCGGGTTAGGTCAACTGGTGATTAGGTGTTCACTCATAATCGACTGGTTTCTGTCTCTCTGTGCTAACCCTGCATCAAGCTAGTGGCCTGTCCAGGGTGTACACCGCCTCTCGTGTTATTGGGGCATTTCACCACGTGTAGGTTTTTTGTCTTTCAAGACTTTTAAGTACTCAGCTTTACTACTCAATATATTTTATAGAATTATGTAATTCTGCATGGGGTTTTTATCCACACTGGAGCTTAATGGTGATAATGATTCACCTCCAGTGAGTCTCATAGTCAGTCTCAGGGATAATTTTGGGATTGTGTCATTTTTCTGACTTACATTTATTGGAGAGCTACTGTATGCTAACACCAATCCGCCAGTTTGTGAGAATGTGTATGTGTCCATGCGACTCCATTAATTTAGAGAATATTTAGGTTTCTATAAGGAATTTCTTAAATTCAAGTGACCAGGCTACATCTCTACTGCCTCTGTTTCTCTTCTGTCTTCTTTTTAAAAATACATTCAGGACAGAGATGACCTACAGGAGCAGGACTGAATCCATGATTCATTTTTGTGTTTTTTACAGTTTGTCTTGATGCATGCTCAATCATCTAGCATGCATCAAGAAATTCTAACCCACTTTGGCAAGGACAGCCTAAATGTGTACGTCAGTATGAGCAAAAAAAAGCACGTAAGATGGTGATTACAGGAACCACATGAGATTCAGCCTCAGATGCAGACAGAACAGAATCAACTTTTTGGGATATTGTATAGTTGTTTTCATTGCTATGAACAGCAACAATTAAGACTAAGTTAGCATGTAGTAATAGCAGCACAAGTTACCATTGTGTTTGTTGTCTTCAGGTTGCAAAAAATAATTCTCATGAAATTTTAACTTTTTGGAGCTAATGTTTAGAGCAGGGCGATATGACCAAAAATATTTATCATGATATACATTTGAAAATTTGCGATAACGATATAACTGACGATATAATTGACACTAGACAAAATACTTTACAATTCCTCAACTTTATTAGTGCAAAAAAAACCCCCCATCAATGTATTTTCACTTAAACAAGCAGCTTTTTTAAGTGCATTAAAGTTATATAAAAAATTAACAGTGCAAATGCAAATTCCTTGCTGACAGTTTAACCAAAAGGCATTTCCAGTGGAAATTGGCCGACATATCCTCAGCATAACCATGTATAATATCCACAAAACTTAAAAAGAGGTTACACACACACAATACGGTAACATTATGTTGAAGCACAGTAGTATCACTCCGCCAAGCTCCTGCCTACGATAGCCGTAATGCTCCGACAATCCATCAAGCGGTGCGGGTTCATAGCTTAGCAAAGTCGTACTGAAACATTTGACAGATTTTCGAGCGCCGTGTACATAAAATCGTTTCCAGGTCAGTAAACACAACCAGAATTCATACATAAGGCACACGGGATTATAAGGGGCTCTGTCGATTTTCAGAAAAATCAAAGGATTGATTTTAAGTGTGCTGTATTTTCCAAAAAACACGGTAATAACGACGGCCCGCTAGCATGCGCTACCAAAAATAGTGCTTTGTTGTGTATCTGACGGATGAAAGCCAAACCAGTGCCACACCACTGAAGTTGCAGCATTTTTACAAACCAATTCTGGTTCATCCGTTTCATTCAACGATCCGCTTTCGCTCTTCTCATTCTGCATCGTCGCCATGTGCGTATGAAAACAAAGGCACTGCGCATGCGCGTTTTACCCATATTCTATGGCGATATTTCATTTTCCTATCGTTGCCCAACATTATACCGGTATTACCGTGAACGGTATGATATAGCCCAGCCTTACTAATGTTGTTTCCTATGACCATGCTTGAATAAATCCACTTCTAAGTGTTAATTCAGGCAATCCCTCACACATTTTAAAGTTTGTGTTAAGTGGCCCAAGAACACAGGAAACCATCCTGGACCAGGGCATCACTGAGCTTCTGGACAGTCGGAGGTGCAACCTGGCAGTGTCAGATGCAGTGAAATATGACGTCCCTTAGGTGTTCTAGCAGATTTAGGTCAGGCAAGCATGGGGGGCAGACATTGTCATAAATTCATTCATCCTCCAGGACTGCCTGCATGCTCTCATCCAGGGCTGCAACTATTCATCGAGTAAATAAATAGTATATATATAAATATAAAATTTAGCATTTAAGTTTTTTTATTGTTTTTTTTTCTTAACAGATGTCTTATGCTGGTAAACTTTAAAACATTGCAACTTCTAAAATGGAACCCAATTAGCAGTTCATTCTGAATTTTTTTCCCTTTTGAATATTTGCTATTACCCATCAAAGGTTGATTCTGTTCATCTGTACGTAGTGTTTTCATTGGGGGAAACGTTTCATCACTCATCCAAGTGACTTCTTCAGGAGACTTCTGGAGACTGAAGAAGTCACTTGGATGAGTGACGAAACGTTTCTCCCACTGAAAACACTACGTCCAGATGAACAGAATCAACTTTTGGAGATTTACTTACCTGGATGATTGAGCATGCATCAAGACATTCATTATTGCTCATCAATAAAACAAAAGTATTTCTTATCTGATTATTCGATTCATTGATGGAATAATTGATAGATTATTTGGTTACTAAAATAATTGATAGCTGCAGCCCTAGTCTCATCACATGAGGGTATGCATTGTCATGTCCCTGGAGGAACCCAGGATCCACGTCACTAGCGTAGTCTGACAGTTAGACCTAATAAGATGACCTAAACCAGCTTATTTTAGCGTAACTAAGGGATGAGTCAGGGTCACTAACTATAGTGACCCTGACTAAAAAGCAGAGAGTGTGGAACCAGCTCCCAAATCCAAACTGGGAGCTGGTTCCACAGAAGAGGGGCCAGAAAGCTGAAGGCTCTGCCTCCCATTTCACTGTTAAATGTTCAAGGAACCACAAGTCAGCCAGCAGTCTTAGACCAGGGTAATATGGTACTATGAGATCTGTGAGGAGACTTGAGATTTAA